TAAATCGTTAGTATAACATAACTGACCTATACGTACGATATACCGCAGAAACACATTTTAAGAAGCTTTAAGTATAAACTGACAAATTTTATTCGTGTTCAATTTCAACTCGATTATGTTATACTACATGCATTGTGCATTTCTTTTCTTTTTTTTTTTGTTATCCTAATGTTTGAATTTGTTATGAGTAATATTTTTGATGCACACAAAGAACAATATAAATATTATAACTTTTGTGTACATCGATAATTTGAATTATGTTTTTATGTTTTTGTTTCTCTAGGACCAACTTATCATGAATTAATCTTAACTACTTTTACGTAAATATTTTTTTACATTTTTTCTTTGAAAATTATCAAAAGTGATTGCAATTTTAACCACTTAAATACCATTCATATATAATATATTATTATATTATAAATTATATATATACATATATTTCATATATATAGAATTTCTACTAACCAAAGTAGTACAATTCCAACGTATAATCGTATATTCTATATTTATTTTACGTTGCCCCTCTAAAATATAAACACGCTAATGCAATTATGGAATGAGATATATAAAAGTGCGTTTATGTGTAGGTAATATTATTATTACCCTCTTCGAAAGCGTGTTTGGAGCTCACTAGTTTTTGAACTTACTGGGGGTGAGTGTGCACGCATGCGTGCGTAAATCATTAAAGTTTTCCGTTTCGCTTTTTCTCGTCCAGACAAGGCCATTCATTTGCGACGATGGTAATCAATGATAGGTTTGGGTAAAGTGGCTCCAGTAAAGTTTAGGAAAAGCCAACCAAATATTGGCCTTATCACGCGCATGTGCGTGCAGTGCATGATTCGCAAGACTATATCGCATGTCCATAAATTGTTTTATCGTGTCATTTTTTTAGATTCCCAATAAAGCAAGTCTTCTATTGGTTCTATGGTTTTTATTTTTTTTTTTTCGTTCGTTGAGTTGAATTTTTCGAGTGGTAAATCAGCACGAAAATGTGACTGCGATAATTATTTAATAAGAAATTTGACACAGACGGTTTCTAATATTGATTTATTTGGTGAAAATTTTACGATTACCGATTTTCTTGGTAGTTTTTCCGATATAAATGAAGGAGAAATTAAAAAAAAAAAAAACTGGAAAATCATATTAAGATACGTTCTATATTTTTTGATAAAATGATAATAGAGTACATAAAATTTAGCTGGAATAGGTTAAATTATTCAAATCAAACTAGGATTACAAATGTAATTACACGTCAATCAAAATGTAGACTAAGGAATATTACCAATAGCCTAGTCGGTACATATATAATAACATACGACATAGACGTATACTCACAAATATTGTGCGCATACGCCCAACGAATTGTTTTTAATTTTCGTACCGGACGTCATCTTCATGGTAACACAATATATCACATTATTTCACAAGTCACGAGGTAAGAAATATATGTACTACTCTCTGCGTACCAGCTAATAACTCGTATAATATTATTATGATGTAATATGACGGTGAAACAATTAAAGTATTCCAACGCGCGTGTCTAATGTTTTGTGAAACAAATAAAACTGCGATGTCGAGTTGGTACGCAAGGCTCTGGTTTCGACAACGATTGCATAACGAGTGAAAAACACGGGCTCGAATATCGAGATGGAAGTAGTGTGGCGACGGTTTAAGGCGTGAAACATTATAACTATTGGTGGACCCTGCAAACGAGCTTTCGAGGATTATGAAAATAATTATTACGATTCCTGGCGAAAACCGAAAAACGTAGCCACTGCAGGATCATCAAGTGCCTTACTTTACATAAGACGTGCATAAGAATCAGATGACTGACTACGTATGCGTATTTGACTAACGACTAAGAATTCATCAATTCGAAATTATAACGGTATAAAAATGATAGAAATCTGTAAACATTGACGAATGATACCACGGTTAGGTATGCGATACGCAGACAGCTATCCTAGTAATTATAAAAATCTGTGAAACTTTGACCAACTGCACTTTTTATGGGTACACGCAGTGGCGTGGTGAAAGGATTTTTGAGAGGCCAATGGCCTCTTCATTCTTGTCGATAGATGGATGGGTGGTTCATGCGAGATCTGTAACACAAACATTGTACAATGTACGTGCAACGTACATAAACTGTAATAATAAATGCCAATCATTCAGGTACATTAAAATCGGATGTACGATACTCGATCCAATGATTCTTTGAATGTTTAGAACCTCCTCCCTCTTAACGCTGTTCCTGGTGGTGGTTACCTCGAATGTTGTTTGCCCTCATAGGTGTAGAAAGTTCACCACGCCACTGGGTGCACGCGTTGCACAATGGCGTACTGATTGTGCCGGCACCTGTGTACGTAAATACATACGCGGTTTGATATATTTTCAAATACGCGCGGGCACACCACGGCCACACACCGTAGGCGGGACGCGGCCGAACGGGTTAAAACAGTCGGTGACCGCAAAGCAACACGGTCGTAAAACAACACGAAAACCCGGTCGCCATGGATACGCCGTCCACGAGCACGGCAATAACAATGTAATACAAACGCGCGCGCGTGCATTCACGTACATGTTATATTATTCTAATACGTACGACCCCCTAGTGTACACCCACACCGTTCGGACGGTCGCGCACGCAGACTTGCACAAGAGCGGTCGCGCTCGCACATCCCCTCCGCGCGTCACGTTCGCATGCTTTCCTGCATGGCTGCCCACCCCCCCCCCCCCCCACCCCCACCCCCCCCCCCGGGCACCGAAGGCCACTGGTTATTATATCCTTTTGAATTATAAATACTTTGAACGGTAGCCGCCGCCGCGTTTACCCGCAATTATCCCCTCCGCATTCGCCGGCCAAACGTCCCGAGCGCGCGTACACGTCACGTATTCCTGTACCGTACGCGCCCGTTCGGCCCGGTGCTGCTGGAACGGTTTCATCGCGACCAGGAAGGACTGGAAATCCCTACTCGGTCGGTTCGATATGAAAATCATTAGTACCTAGCCTGCGATTGAAACGTATTGCACTGTTATTACTGTTGGTAAGTTTAAAAATGTCTCCGTGTACCCGACCCTGTGGTTCGCCTAAATTTTCATTCGTAAATCAGGAACACGGTTCATATCTTTATGATTTCGTGTAAATATGGTAAAATATAATGTTCTAATATCGGCTATCGTGACAGCGTTTGTTGCGCAGTGTAATCGGAGGCCCTAAGGAACTGCTAAGTATATTCACGCGGACGTAGTCGTCGAATACGTACAGCATATATCATGTACACGAAACGCTCGTTAGCTCCCACGTTGAACATTACAAGTTTTTTTCCCTCTCGTTTCGCTTGTCTTCGTCTCACGGAAATTGTACATTCAGCGAGTGATCAGGTGCACGTCATCGAATAAACGGGAAGGCAGAAAAAAAAAAGTCCGTTTACCGAATTATAAATCGGAATTCTATACTTCATCATGTTCATGCGGAACACCGCGTGGGTATTATTACCTATTATTACCCTTTCGGCAAACGATGCCGAATTTTAAAAGCTCATTGAGGAATTTGATGCTGAAAACAGTCAAGCACAGCGCAAGCACATATATAAATATAAACAAAAATTAAATTGGTTTTTTATCAAATTTCTTACGTAAAATGAGTACATATTTGTACCTACATCGCATGTTTTAATAACCATGTATATTATTCATTGTCTACTATAAAGAGCGATTAAACGTTCAACGTTTGTGTTTTCTCTAAATTTAAAGTAAATTTCAGTGTTGGATTAAATTTTATTCATTTTTTTTTTTTTTTTTTGACGTGCTTTGATTTCATGTAGAACAACCTTAATTTGTCGTAGTACCGATTTTTAACTATACGATTATGACTGGCATACAGTACAGACATTGTTTCATGGAACATCTATGGCTTCGTGTACATTTGTGTAATGTAAATGTAAAATGATGCGCACGCATCGACGCCAAGCAGTCAGTTAAACTGTTAATAAAAAAATTTTAAATTTAAAAAAATGATAACAACTAATTAAACTAATAAACTCGTTAACTCCTTTAAAAAACAAAGGACCAAGGAGTATATGATTTTAAAAAATATCTCTTGATCAGTTTCCATACAACGTATTTTGCTTACAATTAATAATAATAAATGTACATTTTTTTCCACATATTTGCTCAATATTATTATTGTACATTTTTAAATAATTATCCTTGAATATAATATATTCAATCATTATAATATTATGATAAATATTTTTGTATTTTCATTGAATAAAAATTATTTCCCTCGTTTAATATTTGTAAAATAATTTCAACTTGATTTTTTCATGATTGTTATCGAATGACCAGACATCTACGCATCTAACCTGCAGACAGTTCTAAGTTTAAAGCTAAACTATGTGTTCGTATAATGCATTTTAGATGTAGAAAATTAAGACAAGCGAAGGTTTAGGACAATGGTGGCCGACCCGAAAGAGTTGGGAGAAAAGCGAAAGAGAAGAAGAAGGTGTCCGTATAACGATAAAATTTCAATTTTTGATTCGGAATGTTTCACATATACTTACTCGTATACGTAGATGGTCAACGATAACGTTATCATAACTATAGTATGTGTTTCGTTTACATAACACTATGTAATTGTATTATCAAATAAATAATTTAATATATTCGTAATCGAAGTTCTATTGGAAATGAGTACGGAAACCATTTTTAAATAACAAGTACCCACTATTGGAGGAATAGAACGTACACCTTTGTTGTTTCGAACATATATTTCGATTAAATGCTTTTTATAATGAACTATCCGTTGTTGGAATACCCATGAGAGGAAATTGATCTGTACCTATTTTTTTATATTTATGTTCTATGACAAATTATTTTGAGATTGTCATATGAATGAATAATATACGTATACATTTATGAACAAAAACCATAACGTACTCGTATGATATTTTGCCGGATAACTGGGCAATTTTTAACCGTCAGTTATCATTTTTTCATAGGAACCTTAAGACCACCTGGGCTGATCGGTGGAAGTAAGCCCAAGGTAGCTACGCCGGCGGTGGTGTCGAAAATCGAATTCTACAAACGCGAAAATCCAACAATATTCGCTTGGGAGATACGCGAAAAGCTCATATCCGAAGGTAAATATAATATAAATTTTCATAGCAACTAGTATTGAGTTTATTATTTAATTTCTTCGCTAACCGAAACATTTTTATAGTTATATTCATAATCGACAATTTCATCCATGTTTTATGAAACAAACGCATAGCGAACAATTAAGCATTTCTGATAAGCGTAACTTAAACAGTAATTGATTATCGTTAAGAATTTAAGATTAATTTCAATCTTTGGGAACATATATAGTGCTTTATTCATTATAGATAAATTTATCCAGTTCATTTGGTAAAGGTTAGGGAATGGAAGCCATAAAAACTATCAGTATAATATCCATTTACTAACCTTACATTTCGTGACCGTGATTCCGTGAGAATTACGAAGATTAAAATTTGATACCTATTCTTGTTGTATTATTTTTTAATTGATGATGTATTGTTATTACCTATCAACATTTCCAGTCACGTTAAAGACATGGAGTTTGAAATACATAAATATTTATATGGGTTTATTTACATGAACGTCATACAAATTGTTAGTATTTACGGCTTTCTTTAACCGAGTTAAACTCGGACACGAAAATATTGTCGTTCTTCTATTACAATTACACCTCCGAACCGAACAAGTAAAAAGAAGAGCACACGTCTGAAAATAAACCATCCTATTGTTAATAATCTAATGGTGTCCCTATTCACTTACTTAATTTGAACCTTTTGTTGATAACATTGTTAGCTCGCACAATATATGTATAACTACCGATGCGGTTAATACGTTTCATAAGACCAATGGTTACAAAATACAATCATTGAAACTTAGCTGCAAGTACTTATTTCAATAATTATATAACCATTGATTAAATAGTTGACGTTGGATCATCTTTATACACACATTTCATGCGTAACTGGTTTGTGTTCGAATAACCAATAATACAACTTGAAATGTTAGGGCATGCGCGAGCATGTAAAATCGTTTATATTTACTGGTTTCTGGGTAGGCAATTTAAAACGGTTGAATCCATAATTCATCATAATCGATAATTCTGCATTATGTAAAACACATTCTGATCGCACGTCGTCTGATAGTTAAAAAATCAAATTACTAAAGAACTTCAAATGAAAACAGTTTTACTCGCGCTTAAACGAGATTATCGAAGTGTTTTAAATGTATTGAATCTAAAGCGGTGGTATTCCAATAAATGACGCAAATCAAAACAGACATGTACCGTAGGGAACATAAGAAATTTATTAAAAATATCAGTACGATGATTCGTATTTTCGAGAACAATTTGCATTCGGCGGACCGCAATGTCAGTTTTCGTTCGATAATATTGTAGATGTTTAGGCGTACTACGTGACTAGTCAAGTCTACGTTTATCCAACGTTCACATTGTTTCGTAACGAATCATTGAAACACATTATCGCTTTTAAAAACTACTTCACACAGACGCAGGTTCGTAATTAAATTGGTCATGGGGATCATTGGTGTTCGGCGTGTGTAGCAAGTACGTTACAATGTACGCCTTCGACGGTAATTCGACGTGGGCTTGAAGGCGCATTTCAATGTCCTTTTCATCGTAATATTTTCTTTTACACATCGACATATCGTGTACTCGGCAACAGTAATGTGGAACTGTGTGTGTCATTTACACACAGAACACTTGTGTAGTGGTCGTTCAACATTTATATTGTATTATTATTATTGTTGTTGTTATTATTATTATTATTATTACTACTACTATTATTGTCGTCATCATTATCGCAGTCGTCAAATCGATCGACGACAACAAATATAACAACGGGTAACGAATTTATCTTTTCCATTTTACCAATTATATGACGGCATAAAAGGATTATATTTTTCGTGTGAACCGAACAGAATGAAAATTATTATATTGTGCCGTGCCGTGTGTCAGTCACGTCAGCGAACAAGCTACTTCTTGGGCGCTGCCAGTTGGAAAACGTTCACTTGAACGGACTTGAATCGTCAAAATGCTCTCTCTCTCTCTCTCTCTCTCCGTCTCCGTCTCTCTGGCTATGTCTCACTCGTACTCATTCTGTCCGTTTCTTAACGACCGGGGCATTACGAAAATTTAATATTACATAGTATAATATATATATATATATATATAATAACGTTTACATAAAAACTTGATGTCCCACAGCTCGCAATGAGCGATAGTGGAAGAGGGGAAGTGGAGGAAAATTCAATCGATTTGGCTACCGTCAATGACATCTTTTATCTCTTTCTCTCCGGACAAGTCAATTTCCGCACGACGACCGGTCGTTTGTTTGTCACACACAACTCGGTATTATAGTTTAGTAGTATGTGTGAATTTACAATTATATGCTATTGATCATAAAACCGAAGAAATACGGTAATCTTGTTTGGCAAAAAACACCGCTCTCATTCTTCACGTATGTTCCGAAAAGTTTTTAGCCAATGATATTTTAAAGCAAAATTGATGTAAGATATATACTGACATATTTTGTATAAGAAATTTGTTCGATTTCAATCATTATTCGACATGTATTTATTTAAATCTCAAACATCATATTCAAATAATATAAAATATTAACATTTACATTTAAAGTTGTTAATAATTGAATTAACAGTAAAATGGTAATTGATAATGCTAATAGTAATATTATACAGAAATATTTTACATTTATGTTTTTTCAACTTTTTTTTTCTGTAAATAATTTTTATTAATTCAAAAAGTTAATACGAGGTATAGTTAGAATTATAACTCGTTACTTAAGGTTGCCGTAGTAAAATGAATAATTTATGCTTAACCACATTTCAAATATTTTTAAATTTTAATTAATTTTTTATGTAAATTATAGAAATTTATGAATTTGAAAAGCAAACACTTCTTTAATTTAATATATGATTCAAAAAAATAGAAAAACAATAATTTTATTCAAATTCGATTTAATGTTTTATTGTTTAAAAATATTTTTTTAAAAACTAACTATTCAACAATACACTTTTATGTTTAGGCAGTACCTATAGTACTGTCATTCGATTTTTTTTCACGCCTTTTCTGTCAATACAAATCTATGTTTTAGTTGAATAAACTTACGTTTTCAAGTGATACGTTTTTTATTCAAAATCAGGTAAAATTATTATTTTATATAGTTTATAAGATTATTATTTTTTATATATATATACTACCGTCGCAATTTAACTTGAATCGTTTGAAAAACAAGAAATTCTACTCTACTAATTAATGGGGATAAATAAATAATTGTTGTTTCTTGTTGGACATACCTATATCCAAATATATAAACGATCAAATATGCTAATTAAATGTTTATTTTTTTTCTTAAATATGATATTATTACCCGTCGAATGTTTCTCTCGGAATTGGATAAACCGTTAGTGAACGTAACGCATAAAATCTAAAAAAAAAGGACAAAAAGGTATTATTCGATTTCAATAAATATAATCATTTGTAACTCTTATATTCATTGATCGTTACCGTTTGGTAACACTTTATATAATCAGAATATCGTATGAAATCGTTTAGGTCGTGTGTGGGCTCGATGCGGTGGCACATGTCAACCTAAACAATAGAACTGCGTTCCGTCGTATACACCTGCAATGAGCCCGATAGAAGGGCAGACGAATATAGACAGTTGTTAAAGCAGAATAGATACTCAAGTTGCACGACTGTCGGTTCCAAACATCCAAGTTCAAGTGTTCTTTTGTGAGACCGTTTGAAACATATATACACACACACACACACACACACACACACACATATATGCACGCACTGCAGTGTACTTATAATTGTCTGAACTTAATTTCGTATATTTAAAAAAAAAAACAGAAAAACAGTAAAAATATATTACAAAGTATCCAAAAATTTATATTAATGTCTTAAAAAAATTAATACTGTCAAATTTCAAGAGACGGATATTTATTGGTAAACAATGCTGAATATTTAATTTTAAAAACAATAAATTGAAATACTAATCAAAGCGATTTGATCAATAACGGTAATTTAATTAATTTCATTTCAAATGTGTTGAGTTTAAATAGAAAAATAAAATGTATACAATGATTTATATACGAATAATATACATAAAATTGTATAAAATTGCAAGTACAATTATTATATGTACATGATTTATTCGTTAATAGTTTTGTACCGACTGCTTTATGGTTATAACCTTTATTACCTAAGTTATGACCTTAATAAAAATAATAATAAATCAATAAATAAACAAGTGATCAAAATTTTTTTTATAATTTTAAATGTTCAAAACGAAACAATAAATTCAACTAATATAGTTTTATACAAATTAACACAATTTTTTTCTAATCTAACCGTATGTACCTGCTTCTCTCCTATTTTGAACTGGTTGAACAAAAAATGGTTTTGGTGAATTGAGATCAAAGCCATCCCAACGCTCGACAAACAAGTTTGTCGGCAAAATAAAAGAATATTTCTTTGAACAGTATTGTTCAAACATATTCCGAGTACAGAAACGCCGGCAGCGTTCGAAAGCCGGATTGGCGGCCGTGTGTCGACCGAAAAACTTTGATAAACGAACACTAGAACCCCTGTCTTTTCGAGACGTTGACGTGTTCGTGTAAATCGAACAACTCAAGTTTTCGAAAATCGAATTATCTTTCATTCCTTCGAAAACGTGAAATACATAATAACGACCTGTGTGTGTGTTCGCAGGAGTGTGCACCAACGGCACGGCACCATCGGTGAGCAGCATCAACCGGATATTGCGGAACAGGGCGGCCGAGAGGGCTGCAGCCGAGTTCGCCCGGGCCGCCGGTTATGGGCTGTACCAGGTGTCACACCCGTACGCGTCCTTCCCATGGCCACCGCATCCGCACGGGCTGTGGCCGGGCGTGACGGCCGCGGATGGATCGACCACCGCCGCCGCGTCGTCCGCGGCCGGACTTCCGCACCACGGGCCGGCCGGCGCGTCCAACAAGAACGCGACGCTGCAAATGATCGCCGCCCATCAACCATGCGGCGTCATGTCGCCTAGGGATCTGATGCCCAGGCTCTTAGGTGAGTGCATTAACGTTACGATATCGGTTGGTTAGGTACGTATTATGTTGATTACGCGCGGTGTTCCAGTCGAACGTACACACGAACGTTATCCTCCTTTGTCTTTTTTTTTTTTTTTTCGTTTTTCACCTAAAATAGAGGCTACGACACCGATTCGGAGTTCCGACGCCGGTAGCTACGCGCCGTTTTACGCTCGCGAGATCGTTACGAATTATTTCGCGGAAAGGAGCTCGCGCGTTAATAATACTCGGATTTTCGTTTTAACATTTGCGCACGCTATTATATCGGGTTTGCACGTGCGTCCGTGACGGGTCGTTGAGCGCACGGAACAACGCGGTAATTTTCGGTGAAAAGAAAAGGAAAAAAAAAATGTTTAAAAAAGTAACGTTTCACGGGTAGTAGTCACCACCGCTCGGTCGTCCGCGCAACTGGAATCCGTAGCGCACGCGAGGCACATCTCACTGCACAAGACTGCGGCAAATCGTGCGTGTAGAACGTGTCGACGAGTGGTTCTTTGGACGCGGATCGCGCGACCGGTTATCGACAAATCCATCGACTACGTTCGAGATCGCCTTTGAAAAACCACGTTTTTGTCTCCCCGAGTTGACGTTTCGGCCATTATCAATGGCAGTATGACCGCGCGCCAACTTGTAAATATCCATGAGATTCAATCCGTTTAGTTTTGCACTGTCGCACCATACTGTATGGGCGGTAAAAATTGTTCACAGACACTAGCGCGATTGTTTTTTTCTTCAGATAAAATTGATACATTTTTACAAGAGACATGCGGACATGCTCGAATTAAATGTAAAGCCTTTACGCGTACGGTTTACTCTTGCGGGTCTTGGATTATATCAGTGCGAAGGACAAATGTCAGATTTGTGCAAACACTCGATGCAAATACACTACCCTAGTTTGTCGTACACTCGTAAATAGTAACATAACGATTTTTTGGATGGCTAAAATAAAAATACGGTAGCCGACTTTTAATTCGAGGTATTGAGCGCGACGAAATCGTTTTATGAATAATGAAATCTGAATACACCGGGTATGTTTGAATAACTTTACAGAAAAAAAAAAAACAATATTAATTAAATGCATGAATGATCAAGAAAGAATCGTTCGCCGTCTAGAAGACCATCTGGATTTTAAACCAGTTTTCGACTCAACATAATTCAAACTATTTAAATCTTTTTCTCTCCATAAAATAAATCCTCGGCCGATTTGAAATTAAAACCACGCGATTTTAAAAACCGTAATTCCATTAAAAACGAATTAGCCCACAAATTTATTACGTATTTAAACATGCATAATTCAACCAAACTGGTTTCGAATTCAGAACCGTATTCAATTTACTATGAGCACCTCCATATAGTCATTCATCGTGACAACAAATTATTATCTATTCATTAGAATCACGTTAAATTAACATATGCGTAAACACGGGATGGTTTTTTTGTAAAAAAAATAAAAATACTAATTACCCAGCACCTACCTATTTCAGATTGGTTATTTGTTTTATTATACGTAGTAATATTTTATACACTCAAAATTCTACGTGTAGTCTTGAATATTTTAAGTACGTTATTAAATCAAAGATTTTTTCAAATTTTATTACATTATATTAATTAGCTTCCGTTGCATAACCGTATATGTTTTCTAAACGGGCATAATTACCCGTCAAACATGTTCTATTATTTACTGCTAAATGTTAAAACACCGTGGCATTTGTAGTCATCGTAATACTATTCGAAACCAAATATTTTTTAGACGTAAACTCTGGTTCTGGTTCCGCTGGATTTCCGTTGTACTACATCTAAATCAAATTTAATTTTTATAAAGCATATGTCGCGTTTCGAATGCACCGGGAAACCTTTATTACACTACTAGCCGTGCATTCAAATCTCACGTAACACCATATCAATCTTCGTAAAATATTTAGACTACGAAAAATGACCAGCACGAGTTATCGAACGCATTGGCGTATTCGTGGTTTGTTTAATTTTCCCCGAACAAAACGGGAACGTTTATCACGCATATTATGTTGAACAACGAATGCCCGCTAAACATTATTATTCGTGAACTAACCCACGGACGACCGTCGGATTTGACGTTTTAACATATTATTGTTGTTGTTAGATTGACTCTTTCGCGTTATCGCCGCCTTGAACGTTATGCTATTATATTGTACGTTAAACGTTTGAAGCATACGTAACAACAGTACGTCGGAATGATACTATACCTCAGTAATTTGATCGTCGTACGCGTTACGGTATGCTGTATTGTAATACATCGTGTTGGAAACGGTTGTATTATAATTTCCCAAAGTACACATGCCGTATGGGGCAGCACATGATCAATTAATTAAGCGTATAAAACGCAAATAAAACAAGTACGTCGTACGCGCATCGATCGCGTGTGCAGCGATCAACTGTGAACGTACCGTTGTACACAATTATACACAATAGCGATAGGTATTCATTATAATCGTATAATAATACATTATAATACATACCTACCACTATTTCGCTGTTGAACATATTTTCTCACGGGCGATTAATTGTCATCATTACAGCAGATTCTAGATAATCCGACACACATGGGACCGCGGCACTGCCGGACCATCGAAAAAACTAAACACTTAAATAAAATACCGTTAAAAATTAAAATTAATTGATTTTCATTACACGTTTATTAAATTATTCGTATATAAATTTATTGAATGTATTTCCATACATATTAATTTTATACGCATATGGCAGTGGTTCTCAACCGGGATGACATGGACCCTGGGTAGGGGGGGGGACACGAAATCTCCACGGGAAGAATAAAAAAATATAATTTATTTTAATGAGATTATATTTTATGCCCAAATTGTCATGTAAATAGTATACCCTTAAGTTTAGATCTTTATATTATTTATATTTACTCTTAATATCCGAAAAACACGTGCAGTATATTGATTTGCGAAATCGCTGCATTATCGATTATTTTATCGACTTAACCGGGGTCGTTAGTCAGTTATTCTGCTGTTGCTATGTAGTATTATAGCTTTACAACTCTAGAAGACAATATACCATTCGGGTTATCCACCATCAACTCTTGATTTTCTTAACTTTGTAAAAACCACCAGGATCAAATTTCTCATTAGTATTTATACAAATGTATATATACTATTATTTTTTTTATTTTTATTTGCAGATTTGAACTTTAAAGTATCAATGTTTATCGAACCCTGCAACTCAAATAAATTGTAGGTGTATTTATTATTTTTCTGCGTACTGAATTTTTTTTTTTTTTTTTTGTTATTTCAAGAATAATTCCAAAATATATAGTTAAGATTGTTTATTATTTTGATGTTAGGACGACGCGGTGTTTGATATTCTAGTGGCTAAAGGCGACATAAACGAAAAAAAGATGAGAATCACTGCCATATGGGTTTGAAATAATTGTTGATCGTTTTTTTTTCCTATATAATAATAATATTGGTTAATATTCATATTCTCAAGACACTAGAGTATTTTCCTTGTTCTTGCTCATGCCTTCATTTCATTAATGCTTTCCAAAACTTGTACGGATTTCACATAATTTCAACGATACCGTACGTTTTCGCACGCGGCGGCGACCCTGTTTTAATTTATGATTTGTTTTTCCTGCGCCTTTCTACCCGCAGAACGGAAAACTTCATCGTACTCTTAATATTGATATTACACCTACTAAATCGTGTACTGCAGTATATTATTGAGCGTAATGCTTACGTGCGCATCATGTGTATTGCAATCGATTGGGCACGAAACGTGTAAATAAATAATATTTATTATTACGCATACGAGTATACACATCGATAAACGGCCGTGTGCGGAAAACACATAAATGAACGTATATTACGCTGAATGACCATTACTTATTTGCTCTTATGTATTATAACGCGATCGGTTCGTTCACACGCGCATTTATAATAATAATAATACGTAGGTACATCGGGTTTTGTATTATGCTACGTGTACGCTGTGTACACGTTAAACGCGTATAAATAATAATATTTCTTAGCCATTGCTTCCACGATATTCTCTTATTATCGATACGATTTGCATTCGCGTTTCCAATTACGCGTGCGCGCACACATACATGCCCAATCCACCGATTATTATAATACTGTGAGCAGGTTCGCGTCTGTAAAATTACATTAATACGGTACACGTCGTCTGCGTAGCCACCGCGTTAATGTGCGTGCCGCAAGCATCTCATCGTGTATAAGTAGACGTATCATGTTTATGATACTCATATGCATACGCTGTTTAAATACACTTTTACTAACTACACATACGTATTAGATGAATTTGAATTGAAAAAAAAAATAAATAAAAAATGTCCACGAGTATAAAAATATTACCACGGTTATTATTGAAGACCGGATATAATTGCGTTTAAAACTATCCTAGAGTTACGCTGTAAAAATGCCGAAATCGCCATGAAAATGTATCGAAATCGCAATGAAATATACATTAAAATTACATAGTAAAATCATATCAAATATATAATCATTAATTACTTACTTAAATAATATTACGGACATTAATATAATATTTATAAAATATATCATTTTTCCGAATTAAAATTTGTAATTACCTATGTACATCTCTGAATTGTGTTCTTGAAAATTGTACCGTCTGTTACTTAAAATATGTTTATATAGTAAAAAAGTACGTTCAACGACGACATTTGTTAAAAATAATTTAAAAAATTTGGTGTTATATCTAAATAATAATTTTATTTTCCTGTCATAATCTCAGAATAAGTCTTAGTAGTTTTATATCCTTCATTTATTTCTAAGACATATTTTAATTTATTTTTATATAGTTTTTCCATTGGGACCGGGAATATTTTTAGAAATATTTTCCATTTCACTAAATATGTTTAAACTATTAAGTAATTGACTATTTGATTCTTCTAAACTTGTGAATTTTGTGAATAACTCAGATAAATATAATTTTAAAAATCCTAAACTACATTTAACTACATGTAAAAATGTACGTCGTAATTATATTTTTTTTTGTAAAATCAGTTTGGAAATAATAATTTCTATATTTTAGCGCGTTAAGTATACAAAAATTGCAATAATTGCAAGAAATTGCATTATTAAATTAAATAGGAGGACTGTAATTAATTAATTTCTTATACATATTTGATCCGATTTGATTTACCGGGTATCAATAAAAAATTGCAATATCAATTAAATCAGTAAGTTTAAACTCGGAGTATAACTTTATCGGTCCGGTTAGAATGTCCAAGCGTATAGTTTAATTCGGATTTATCGTTAAGCGCCGATGGACGATAGAGTCATTATAGCAAATAGGATTTTATTACTACAATTATTTTTTAATACAATATATTTACTGATATTTATATGATTATAAAATACCAAACTACTATAATGTATATGTTTCGCAAAAATATAAATAATAATCATCTCGTATTCGTATTAAGTCACCGTAATGGTTAAAAATAAAAAATGTAATAAAGTGAATTAAATATTTTCTCTTAAATTTATCCACCATTTATTCCATGTAAAGTTTACAGTCCGTAATGGTGAATATCTTTGTTTAAGGAGGAAATATGTATAAAAAAAAAAATTGTATCGAAAAAATGATGAGCAGTTAGCGAAATTCTACGTTTGGTTTTTAACCATATATCTGAATATTACCATATCGCGGGAAAAACGCAATTATTATCAGATTGATATGCGATCGGCGAGGTTAAAAACGCTGTAATAGTCTATGAATGATTTAACATGCACACCGCGTTTTACCGTTCTCCAAAAAAAGGACAAGGTAAAACGGGAAAAAAAGAACTTTATAAATTACAGTAAAACATATGATGAATCGATAAAATGTCATTTGGCGTATATAACGTATATAACGACGCGCGTTGTAGACCGTGATATTTTTTTATCGCCTCGATGGTGCTAACGAGTTGGTTGTGTGTGATTTCAGGCGACGGAGCCGGCGGCGTGGACGGCTGCAAAGACGACTTGGAAAGCGTAGGCAGTGGCAGCGGGTCTGAGCAACCGAAGTTTAGGCGCAACCGGACCACGTTCAGCCCAGACCAACTGGATGAGTTGGAAAAGGAGTTCGACAAGAGCCACTATCCGTGCGTGAGCACTCGCGAACGGCTGGCCGCCAAAACCAGTTTGTCTGAAGCAAGAGTCCAAGTAAGTCATAAACCTTGATGTACACCAAAGTTAGCTAAAAAAAACCACGTAACACCTTTGAAAACCACGAAAAAACCGCTATGATTACGCTCATCGATCACATCTCGTACTTGCGTGCGCGATAACTAAACTTCCGAAACGATTTCCACAATTTCGCAGCGATATCGATACTGCGGTTGCGGAACCAATCTGTTGGGTTATCGGGTTTTCGAAAATCTGCGCCCGTACGGTTGGGCCGCGGGAACGGCCTCGAGATTTCCATCCGAGAACGAATGGCCCCCGCAGAAAAATCGTGTTTTTGGACGGAAATGATCTTATTAATCTATTTCGCCCGATTCGTTTTGAAAACGTGTCTCGGGAAACGTTGAACGATTTCACCAACGCCGTATTGCCGCGTCGAACGGAGCTTGTAGCGACAAAAATTATATTATTTACGCGTACACATAACGCGTGCAGAGTGGACTTTTGTACATAAACATTACTTGTGAACGCATTTGCAGGTGTGGTTCTCGAACCGGAGGGCAAAGTGGCGGCGGCACCAACGCATGAACAAATCGCGTCGGTCGGGCGTGGCGGCCGCGTCAACCGTGTCGGGCGGCAGCAGCGGTTCGGCGGCGGGTACGCCCACGCCACCGGTCCCGGGGTCTACCGGTGGTGCGTCCACGGGGGGAACGGACGGTGGCGCGGGCGTACCGCCTTGCCCGGTCGCGGTGGCCAGGTGTCTGCTGGGCGGTGGCGAGAACAGCGCTTTCCGATCGCTGATGCCGCAGCAGCAGCACCACCACCTCCAACGACAGGTCGAGCACCAGCAACAGCAGCAGCAGCAGCAGGGATATGCGGCGTCCGATACGTCCGAAGAGATAAACGTGACGACGGACGACGAAGGCGACGACTGCGGTGGCGGCGGTGGCGGTAGTGGTGACGCGGACAGGGACGAACAGGCCACCGCCGGACACGTGGTCGACGATCCGATGGACGACGTGGACGGGTCGGACGAATCGTCGTCATACAACAACAACAACAACAACAACAATAACAACAATAACAACAACAACGAAAACGACAGTGGCAGCGGAAAAACAGTGGGCTCGGCGTCGCGCCGCGCCCCGTCGCCGGCCACACATTTCGCCGCCGACCGACCGCCGTTCTTCGGACATCACCTGCAACTACCAGCCGACCCGAAGCGGCCCGTCGACCATGTCCAGCAGCAGCATCACCACCAGCACCACAACAACGTGCTGTCCACGATAGCCTCGTGGCGCGAAATGGCCGCTTTCACAGCTTTGCATCACCGGGCCCTGGAACAGGGAGCGATCAAAGCAGCGGCAGCGGCCGCGGCCGCCGCGACCCAGCCGTTGCAACTGACCAAGTACGACAAGGACCGAGCGTAGGTCGCCGTGACACAGGTGCTACGCTCACGGGCGTGGTCGAGAGGAGAACGAGAAACGTTTTCGTATTGTAATTTTTTTTTTTTTTTTATCTTCTTTTTTATCAAACAGGATTATCAACAGGTGGTAGAAAAACGTAATGTTATTTATGTGTATGTACATTTATATGTTGTAGCCTTTTCAGATAATCTTTCGAGTACGTTTCGGAAATATTTTACGCGTGTATATATAAAAATGATTGTACATATTATGCACCAGTCGGAGAAACGGTCCTAAATTATTACCCTTAAGGAGCAATTAGATACTATGCCCATACGCCCATCGCGATCTACTATCGTTCAATACGAGTTTTTATACCTTTTGTAGTTTCGCGTCTTAAAACGATCAATGTTAATTTTCCTTGCGAATGCCTCAAAACGGTAAAATAATAGAATCGTTGCAACACGAAAAGGAGAAATTCCAAAAAAAAAAAAAAAAAAGCGTAAATAAATAGCGAAAGTCAGCCGATGGGATCGTTCCCCGTACAATTTATATATCTGCTCCTGGTTACTTGTGACTGAGTACACCGTAGTACAATTTTGGGAACGCGATGGGCACACATGTACTCGGCTCAGACCTGAATCGGAGGATAAGGGTAGTCGTTCTAAGTATGGGATTTTAGGGTGCGACGATTCGATAGCGTCTCCGTTATCATGACGCGTTTGTACCGTTTAAAATTTAGTGTCCAAGTATTTTATTCGAGTAAACAGAATGTCAGAAAGGCTGCTGTTCACGTTTGTTGAGTTAGCCACATCCATCCAAGTGATTGATCTTAGTATAAGCGAATATTCATCTGCGAAACGATTATTCGACTGCAGTATCACGTGAACGCGCATGTGTAGTCGTCGCAGCTATAATACCATACAAATAAGACGTAGGTACTTAACTTTACGGTTTTGTTTTTCGTACAAAAATCTGTGTTTAGCATTGTTTGTATTATAAGAACTTTGAATCGAAAAGTGCGATCGACGTACATGCGCTACACACACAACTAGCATTCAATTGCAGTGATTGTTAGCAGCCACGATTTTTTTTCTCTCTCCCCCTCTCTGTCTCTTTCTCTGAGGAGGGTAAGTGTTTTCCTATATAGTATGTAAGGAGATATTTTATACATCACATTCATGATCCATATGTTATTAGAAGAAGTGAAAAAAATAAAATTTATTCATTAAAAATTATTGTTTTTGGAACCTCTTCCGGGTGCATTCCGGGCAAGTACTTGCGCATTATTTTTATTGTTTTTCGACTAAAGGTATAATTTTTTTTTTTTTTTATCGCGCTAAAACACCTATTATTATTAATATGATTATTACTATCCTAATCGAATAATTCTTATGTATATAATATTATATAATAAGTGTAGTTTTAGTACGTGTAATTATAAATATTAAATTGTTTTTGATTGGTCGGTTTAATGATCAGTAATACGTAGAGTAATAATTTTACCTATGTAATAAAAACGCATGCAGTTCATGTTTTAGGACATACATGTAAATAAATGTAAAATAATATAACAATAAAAATTTTCGAGTCTAACGGTGGTCGTCTTTTTTATTTACATACGTTATTTTTTATCGTTTAAATATCATAGGAGTACACTTAAGTTTCGATTAAACAACTATTATTATTATTATTAAATAATATTCGTAAATATATCTGTAAGCGTGCATTTTTTCATTTTATATTTTTAATCTCATGAATGGCTTGTGGATTTTCCAGACGAGTATCTGAAACGAAAGTGATTTCGAAAATCGACGTCCATTGACACGAATGTTACTCGTTAATAACCCACACGTATTATATACATGAATATAGTATTTTAACAGATCGATGTCGTTGGTCGGCGCGATCATCAACCTCGTGGTTTTATACGTATATCAAAGGACCCACCGTACGCGGTCGATATCATTTTCGCGGTTGCCCATCCTTCCATACAAGCCATCATAACGTTTTTCGGTTGATCCTGTTCACTTGCACGTGTGAATAAATGCACCGACTTTTTTATTTTTCCCCTAATATAATTATAGTATTTTTTTTTTAAACAAATGTTTACTCGACATTTTATGTATTTAAATAATATTTTTATGTAGGTATAATTTATGTGTCGACACATTACACAGTTGGTGGCCGTGCCGAAAGCGGCCGATTTCCAGGTGAGAATGCAAACTTCATCAGATAAAATTTCTGTGGGGGTGTTAAAACGTTTTTTTAAATCGTACATATCCGTTATGTAAAATGCACCCTCCACCCCACTAAACAATTTGAAATATATAACATGCAAAACAAAATTAGAAAATTTAAAACAAATATGATTTCTGTTCAATAATCAACTACGTGATTAACCTTTAATTTGAAAGCTCTTTCGGTCAATTTACCGTGAATGGTTGATAAAATGTAATCGGTACAATTTTCCGGTACATAATGCATATACGTGTAATAATATAAAACAATTACGTACAGTGTAGAAAACGTGATGTTACCACACTCGCACACATAAATCGAGAACGATTCAAATTCATTAAGAACGAATGGGTACATCGAACCATTTCGCTAGACCGTCGAGGGCGTTAGTCTTAAAACCATGAACGATAAAGCCGATCATTGTCGTTCCCGCGAAGTCCTTTTCGGGGGTCGTTTTTGAGTGAGTTCGGGTGGAAAATGCAAACCGTCTCGTATTTCTCGAATAATTGACCGCACGCATATAAAACGATTATTTTAATCGAAACATCGCATTCAGTCAAAAAATGATTTCCGTGTACACCGTGTGCATAACATTGTGTCAGCGTTGTGTTGTTAATATTCTTAGGATATTCTTTATGAGTTTCAAATAATGTTGTAAACGTTTAGCGTGTAAGGGATAAGGGAAAAAAACTAAGTAAACAGTTGTAGAAAGTAAAAGACGAGCAACACTGTTGACTTGAACAAATTATATTGTAATACGTATATTTATATTATATTATATTATAATTATTATTATTATTATTATTATTATTATATAGGTAGTTTCGTTCGCTTGTGTAATTATTTTCATAGAGTTATTATTTTTTAAATATTTTATAATGATTTATCTGTGATATAGCCTAATTATTTAATTTTTTTTCAATTTTTTTTTTAAATTTACATAATCTCGTATTTATAAACTATTACTGAATTTATACACTTTTTAGCATTATTTAAAGCGTGTAAAATTGTATTTATTAATTGCACAATAAATTATTTCGAACAACTATACAGTTATTGCATTTTATTCAATATTTAAATATTAAACGTCTTTGAAAACGTGAACATTACACCGAAATCCTCGTTAATATCAACGGGTGCATTGCACGTCGTATGTACAGCGCCAAGTGTATAAGTGTTTACAATACGAAATAATATTATTGTTCCTGAGTGCCACAGAGAGTATATATTATAATTTTGTATGTACATTTTACTCGAATACTCAAATAACTCTCACATATGATAAACTCTTAAAAGCACGTGAATCAAGATTCAAATAAAAAAATGTACAAAAAATTGAAACAAAAATAAAAATTAAATTGTTTTGTAGTAAATACCTATAGAACAATAATACAATAATAAAGCATCATTGAGTATTATAACATTAGTTTAATAACTGTTAAATATTAATCACAAATTAAAAAAATAAATAAATCAAATTAAAGCTCTAATATTATCGTATAATAAAATACGTGCAAAAATGTAAGACCAGCTTCGAGTTGAAAAACGAACTGTGTAAAATATTATTGTGGCTTCGAGTGGACAACTTGTTGGAATCATAACTTCATGGAAGTACATTAATATAATGTTAATGTTAAAAGCGTTTTTCGCCTTCTAATATATTTTAATTATAGTAGCAAACAATAAGTTAGGTGTTCCCTGAAGGAATTTAAGATATAGACAAAATCAAGAATCGTCGGCCAAGTGGTCTGAGTACACTATTAGGAGGGTGCCGTGTTTTTACCACATACGATTTATTCAATGGAATCGCACACTCCTGTCGAGGACGATACGTGTATAGTGTCGGATAAAGAGCCGATACCGCCCTGGAGCAAATCATTTTTGCCCCCTCCCCACCCCAAAAATAAGGTATTAATGGGATCAAAATGAAAAAATTCTTGGTTTCAATTTATAGATTAAAATAATTAAATACTACTATAAAATATACCTAATATAATTAATAATATAATTAATACAATATAATTAATCTACTTGCACTAAAAAGTATAAATATATATTTAATATCACAAAATAGTTTTCCAAAGAATTATTTTAAATAAATGGAAAACAGTCAAAAAATACTATTATATTATTAATAAATTGGTTCAAAAATATACATATAATAATTAAAGTGATTTTTAATATTAACATTAGTTAAAAAAAAAAAAAGTTAATATTATTTATTTTTCTTTAAATATATTTTTTCTAGGTTTAATAGTTGCAAATTTTTTATCAGCTCTTCCCACTTCCTTCCTTCAACCAAATCAGATTCTATGCATAAAATGGATAAATTGGTAATTTTCCTTGTGACTATCTAAAATAATTTTTTACACGTTTTAAAACAGAAAACAACTTCTTGCCACTTGCATTTGAAGAAGGTAAGTGCAAATAATTCTGAAAAAATTTCGATATTAGAAAACGATGCCTATGAAGACGATATTTTCAGTATTCTCAGTAGTGATGTAAAAGTATTTTTGACTTCCAACGGAAAATTTTGAAAAATAGTTTTGAACCGTACCAACTCTTCTACAAAGTCGGTTTCTATGTATAAATTGTACAATTCAACAATTAAGAAACTACAACTAATTTCGATGAAAATCAAATCGGAGTCATAGAAAATTCTATAAAAGACAATCAGAAGCTTTGTTGAAGTTGTTCTGTAAATATTAGACGCAATATATCCGGGGTCGATTTGGTTTTGTAGACTTTTTACCGGACTCGGTGAATCAATAAGGAACTTGGAGCGGACTTCGTGATTTATAATCTCAATAGCCATTAGGATCACGCGCGCGGCCCACCCACGCAACATGTTCGTAAATATACGACAACGTTATTCGTGTGTACCCGACGTGTCCGCCCTAAAAATCCTACCGAAATCCGTTGCCTGATGCTGTGTTGTCGCCTTTAAGTAATATTATTATTGTGTAGATACCGATGTGACATTTTGTTTTCAAACAGACCAACTGCTATTGGATAATATGGATAATACTTTGTTTATCTAGACGGCGGTGTTTTCGCGACGTACTTCCACTGTCTGTCTATGACAAGGACCGTCGTACTACTCCGCGTGTATCATAAACAACATTGAAAACATTTTTTCTTATTCACATAATCCTCGTCTGCATCGTGTTCACGTACGACCCGGGTCTGTTTGTACGTACAACGAAACCTTAGCCAGATCATATACATTGCGTTCTGGATGACATTTTGCGATGACTTT